TGCAGCGACGCATCATGTGCCTTGGCATAGTGGAGGGCCCTATTCGTCAGATTGCGAAGGATGAATATTTTGTCGTCTCCTTGATCGTCGGAAATTGTGGTCAATGCGCACATGCCACAGGCTTGGAAAACCTTTGATGTTTGCCCAGCCACAGGACGTGCCTGATTGTGGGAACAGAAAATGCATTCTCTTTGATGAAAAAATGTTGCTGAGCACGGACCCCAAAAGGATCCGTCAATAGAGCAAAAAAGGAACCCAACGCACTGGGTCAGCTGCATATGTTCTCGATCCTTTGTGCGCCAAGGATTTCCCTTATGGTGAACCAACGCTTTTGGGGCCGTGAGTGTCGCCAAGTGCTGGGCCATCTACAACCACCGCAGATGTCACTGGAGGAGCTGATCCCGTGGTTGGTGAAGAAATGACATGACATGACCTTTTTGCCACATACATGTCAGTCAAACCGGAGTTTTCAACTCAAAAAGAAACTTGTGTGGAAAATCAATGCATTTTGTGCGCTCTTTGTGTCTCTTGCTCGGCTTGTTTCCTTCCCATACCCTAGACATTTTTATGTATTGGATTTGATGCCCCACAAGTAGCCTTGCACCAGTGAGGAGCTGGGTAATCTATCTCCGGAGCAGCCGCCTGACAAAAAGGGGTGGCCCAGAAACCCACATACCCTCAGACACCTTCTACACCCTTCACTCTGTCCTTTTTGATAGACTTTTTGAAGAGAATACGGGGTGGGTGGGTGGGTCTGGATGACTTGCCATTATTCCAGGAAGACGCCGAATCTGAGGTGGAACTTGCTCTTCCAACGCGTCCGTGCACAAGGGTTGGCTTCCGTGCTGCTTGGTTGCAGGAGGAGCTTTGCCAATGTCTGATTCCAGGCCTGAAGTTTACAGTAGATGAATCTAGTTGAAACTAATACGCAGCCTTTTGTTCCACATAAAGCTTGACGTAATATGGCAACAAAGAACCCATGCCTGAAGGGTCCAAACGTCCCGTGTGGCAATTGGCTGAAGCTGCCACAGTTGGTCGAAGGTCATCCATCAGAGCTCCCATCATTTGAGCCATGTCGCGCTTCTTGGTGATCCTCCTCAGTGCCGCCTTGGTGCCCAGCTCTGCCTTCGTGGCACCTGGCGCTCCTCGGCCAGCTTTGCGCTCAGCCAGCCAGGTGGAGCAGATGCAGCGAGTGGAGATGATCGAGGAACCCTCCACTTTCCCCTTCGGCGCTGTTGCGATGGCTTCCGTGCTGGGACTCATGGTAGGCCTCGCCAGTGGTCCTCAAGTGGCGATGGCAGAAGACGCCCCTGCCGCCCCTGTGATGGACAAGAAGGCCAAGCTGAAGGCAGAAGTGGAGAAGGCACAGGCTGCCTTCTCAAAGAATGCCAAGAGCAAGGACGACCGTCTGAAGGAACAAATGAAGCAGCTCGAGGATTTCAGCAAGACTGCCACCACCAACAAGGCGTCCAACTGAGAGGCACTAGCTTTTTTTTGGATACAAGCCATGCCATCGAGGAGCCATGGCGAAGATGCTCAAATCCAGTGCAGGAATGCGTGCGGACAAAAGTGCGGTCTGTATGTGGAGATGGCGTTCATCAATCGATTTGATAGTTTTGTGACATTGGTGATTTGATTCAAATTGATCCAGTTGGTCAGCATGGGTAAGCACAGACCCTCAGCATGGCCCAGGCTTTCGGACGAAGAGACTTGGCATCTTGGCTGGTGGCTTCTCGGGGGGTAGGAACAAGAAGCTACTAGGAGCAAAGGGCATCGCTACTAGGAGCAAGGACGCTACTAGGGGCTCCTGGCCTTACTACTAGGAGCAAGAAGCTACTAGTAACAAGGGCATTACTAGTAGTAACAAGAAGCTATTAGAAACAATAAGTAACTCCAGTTCTCAGGTCGTGAACCTCGCCGCTTCCAGGCCGCGGAGTTAGTGGGCACCCGCCCGATACGAGTCGACTCCCGATACGTGTGGAGTGTCAAACACGAATTAGTGAGGAAAAGCAGTGAATATGCAATGACACGTGAAGATATATATATATATAGTTCTGGTGCCGCGGGCAACACACAAAGTTCATCATGTGGCGGTAGCCGGTTCACTTGCACCAATTTCTTGATCGAAGTCTCTCCGTAAAAACAGGACTCATTTTCCGCAAGAGGGATTTCCACACACCTACACCTGCCAAATGTCTTTAGCCAAGCCCCACAACAAAAGAACACAGGCAGCAACAATCAACCGGCCCAGCGCTGCCCTCACCGTGAACAAGCACACGCAAAAACATCGCTGCAAGCAGGAGAGTTCATTTCATCATGTGGCGAGCCTCAGTTTGTGCCAGAGGCCACGCCACAGTGTTCAAACCTACCATGTGATACGTGTATAAGCAACGCATGTATTTAGGGGCTTGTATTTGCCTCACTATGTGCACAGGATCAACTTTCATGCTCCCAGCGGTGGAGCTGTTTCACATTGTTGTGAGCTTGTGGAGCTCCCGAACGGAAAAGAAAGGATCGCGCGTTTCGCCGTTTCGGCATTCCGGGCTGCCTTGGCTCGCGTTTGTTTCTTGTTTGGGCCAGTTGAAGGCAGTATCAAACTGAGTTGTTGGTATTAGTTATTTGTGCTGGCCTGGCTAGCACTAGCAGACATCGAGCACTGTGAAGCTGTCAAGAGGTGTGAGTTGAGGAGAGCAAGTCCGGAGTGTGAAGGTACTACATCAACTTGAATACTTGAAAGCAGGTGAACTGATGTGTGAAGGGACGGATGGCGAGGTATTGACAAAAGGTGACGAGGTATTGGAAGTGAACTGATGTTGATGATCAGTTCACGCCCAACAGATGCATGGCTTCTTACATCATGGCTTCAGGGTAGTTTGCTTCTAGGAGAAAGAAGCTACTAGGGGTTCCTGGCCTGGCCTTACTACTAGGAAGAGGGATGCTACTAGGGGCTCCTGGCATCGCTACTAGGAGCAAGGACGCTACTAGGTTGGACCGGCCACCGCGCCTTCACATGGACACCTCATGTTAGGCCTACGGAGTCGAAGTGTTGGATGTGTCGCGGTCGGGTCGCAGCTCCAGGCGAACGTCCATTTCCGGAGACGGCAACCATCCATACTTTCCCTTTTCCTTGCCCCACTTTGCATGCCCTACCGCGATTCCGTTCTTTTTGGGTATTCGAGCCGCTTCACGATGGCAACCGCCCGCACCAGTGGCTCTCAGAGAGAGGAGGGCAAAAGACGTCTCTATAATCACTCTATTTTTGCACTCACTCTCTTACAAATTGTTTGGTTATGTCTTGCATGCAAGTTGCAAGCGTAGTTATCAATATAGATATATTTTTCATCCCCCATGATATTCGGACTAGAAAATGGGAGGGGTTGACGTCTGTAGAAAACGGGCATTCTTTAGTTTGAAGGAGGTACACTCACCGGGAAGGGGTCAGGTATGGCATTTTCTGGTGACCTGCAGGTCACTAGAAAATGAGGATCACAGGTCTCATAGGCATGCTGGCAGGGTCATTTTCTAGACATCACCTTGTTTTCTTTGATCCCACCGTGATCATCATTTTCTAGTGGGGTTCCTCATTTTCTAGCAAACATAATGAATCATGATGAGTCAAGAAAGAGTTTGAGTAAAACATAGCAAACAATAACATAAATTCAATATCGCCAAGATCTAGAAACAACAAATCAAGACAGACATTCATGATATTCAGAACATATATTCAAGACACACACTCCTAATATTCAGTCCGGATATCATAGGGAAAGGGTGGGCACAAGCGCGCGGAGCGATATTTTTTTGCGGAGGGCGTCGCCTGGCATTGCCTGGCTGTACCTTGGCTTACCCTTCCAATTTGACTAGAAAATGAGGAATACGCCCTAAAGACCTAGAACTCATCATTTTCTAGTGAATTGGTCTGGCTGGATACCCTACCTTTCCATTTC